CCACCCAGCTGGGGAACTATCTGGCCAGCTTGCTCGAGCACTTGCCGTCTCGGCTGCAGCTCTTTCCCCTGGACAGGTGGAAGGGGCCCGTGCGCGCCTGGCGGCTGCAGCAGGTCTCCTGGTGGTGAGGGTAGAAGCGGCGGGGAGGTGGCGAGCCGGAGAAGCTGGGAGGTGAGCGGCTGCGGCCCAGGCAACCCACTCCCCCGCCCCCCCGGTGCTCGTGGCGGGACGGCGAGGAGCTGACGGAGCGCTGCAGGGAGGAGGAGCTGCGCGGGGAGGCGCTGGAGCTGCGGTGGTGGTGGGGGGAGCTCGTCAGGCTGCAGACGCCCATCCTAGAGCCCCCGTACTGGGCTGAGGAGCGGTGGTGGAGGGGAGAGCCCCGGGAGCCGTGCATCAGCTGAGCGAGGCACGACAGCAGGTCTGAGTCACTGTTGCTGCCGGCTCGGATGCGGTAACGCCTGAGCCTGAGTGGATACAAAAGAAGAAGCAGGGCAGATTATGAATCAGAGCCAAGTCATATGATCGCAAACCAGGAAACAGGGTGATCCATCAAACTGAGCCAGTGGGTTGTACATTTATTTAAAAACGGCAATTACTTTGCACATTTTGTTAGTTTAGTGTATTTGAGTGCATACTAACTGTTTCTGTAAATGTATATTGGGTGTGTATTTTTTTTTTTATTTCATTTTTAACTCATTTGCAAAGTCTTGTTTATGTTGCTGTTAAAAATAATTTCCCAAATTGGGCTTAATAAGGTAATTAAATTAAATTCAAGTTTATTTATATAGCCCAAAATCAAAAATCCTATTGGTCTCAGAGGGCTTCACAAGTCAACAAAATAAATTGGCAATGTAAAACAATGTAAAAACAACAAACATATCTTACAAGATCAATGTGAGAATACCAATTTAAAAAGGAACATAACACAATGACATACAGTTACAGTTCATTCTATTCTAATCTTATCCAATTAGCTTAGCAAAACATAACGTCTTTGCTGTTCGTCATAGTTGTTGTTGAGAACAATAACGGCCTATTTATTTATAAAAATCAACCAATTACCTGCCCTCCGCTGTGGGGCGGCCCGGTGGTTTTCCAGGGGGCGGGCGCGGCAGGTATTGGGCGGCCAGCTGCT